AGTATCTACCTTCCATTTCAAAATAATTGCTTATTTTCTTATGTCATGGTTACATATCAAAAGTATTGCTAATTTGCTAGGTTTTGGCTACTAGCATATGTGTGCACACAGATGTGTCTGTCTTGAGTCCAACAGAGCATTCCTTGCTATTTGGCAGTGTAGGACTCAGATGATGAGATCCTCCTCATGGAATACAGCCAAAAATGAGACAGGTTGTATAGATGGTTTTTCTCTAGGAACACTTACCTGAACAAACTTTGATATTTTTTTTTTCCTTTTAAAGAATTTCTCGGCTGAATGGATTATAGGATTTTCCATAAGGTTAATAATAAAGGCTGTGCCTGCTCTGAAAACTGAAGTTTATACTGGTATCCACTGTCAAAACCAGACTATTGAAATAACGAATTGGCTTCACTTCCTCAGAATGTGTAAATGTCCCAACTTAGAGTTAAACTGTCAACAGCTGAAAGACAATACAATTGACATGTACCTGGCACTAGTTACTCAGGTTTATTTTTTCCTGGAAAGCTGTTTTGGGCGACAGAGTGGCGTCCAGGTTTCCCAGGTTGTTGTGCTGACAAACTGCAGTGGTGGTAAAGGCAGGGAGTCTGACAAAATCTCATTAATCATTTTAAATTAAATCCAACATTCCTCTCCAACACTGCCAAGGAGAAAGCTAACTTTTACAAATGAACACTCTCTATGAAAAGAACTGCTATCCTCACCATGTTGCTTTAACAGAAATATGCTTGACTTCTGTCTTTTACAAATACTCAATAAGTAGTATTTTGAAGCTTAAAAAGTAATGCATTTGTTGGATTGCTAGAAATCTCAAAAGTGATTTTTGCTTATTTTCTGCATAAGGCGTTACGAGTGAACCACATATCTGAAAGTTAGAGCTTCTTCATTCTTTCAATGAACTGTAGTTTTTTGCCTTTTCAAATTATAAAGTGAATGCAAAAAGTTCCTTCTTAATGCAAGAAAATTTCACACAGGGAGTGGAGGCATTCTGTGTAAATATTTTCTAATCCATCTCTTCCCTAAGCTTGTTTATATGAATAAGAAAGGAAAACTGCAAATTCACTAACATCATTGTCAGCAAAAGCACTGAAGTGTTGAAGGAGTAACGTGACCTCTTTGAAGCTTTTTACATACACATAAATTTCTGTAACTCTAGCTATTTGTTTATGATTCAACTACATACATTGTATGGTAAGTCTTAACTTTTAACACCTGATAAATAATACTAGAAGGTCACATACAGTTTTCTTTTGCTAAAATCACTATTATATGTAGATTATAAAAGTTTGTATATTATTTCTCTTTAAGGCAAAATGAAACCACAATGTGCCTATGGGAGACACAGGAAATCCTTTAAGTCTGTCCTTTGTCCATTTTAATAGTGCTTTAGAGTGGTAGCTTTTACAATGGCAGAGAACAAGTCAGCAGCCTTAAAGTTTATTAGTTTTGATTCTTATATGAAATATGTGAAAAGAAAAAAAATCCAATCGATATAAGGCAAGTAAATTTGACTTTTCTAAATACTTGATATTGTTATTTTGACATTTTAACATGATTAAGTAGGTACACTTCAATTTTGCTTAGGTACTTAAAATAATTTAATACTTGTTTTCTAAAAACAGAACTATAAAAAAACCAGATTGCACAATGCAACCTTACACAGAGAATGAAACTTTTACCACTTCAAAAAAGCAATTCCCATTGATAAATTTGCTTATGTAAAGAGCACTAATAAACTGCAGTATACTGAAGAGGAAATAGTGACATTTATTTGTCTAGCTGTACAGTTTATTTTCCTAAATTTCTATTTTGAAACTGTTTATAATTTTTCTTTTTCCAGTATGGGGAGGTGGTTGGGACGGAAAAGCTTAGGAGAACAAATGGTTTTGTTGGTTTTTTTTTTTGTTTTATTTTGTTTTTTTCCCCCCTGAAAATTGACAAATGTGTCTTTAACTTACAATTGATTGGGCTTTTGTATGTTGAAGCAGCTTTGACTTATTTTAAAAAGCCAATGCTATATAAATCTGTTGTTTCAGGTATCAATGGCAAGTATTCAAAACAGAAATAGAGGTTTGAGAAAATGTAGAATATCACTGATTATAACTAAGCCATATGAATATGTATTGAATAAATGCAACGAAAGCCTCAGAAATTAATACAGTCAAAACTGAGCTATATTATGTGACACACACATGGACACAAGTATAGCCATTTCCCCTACGTGAACAAAGAACAGTTGTCCTGTCATATCTGTGTATAATAAAGTCATCAAAATTTCAGAAATGGCCCTTCAAAACACAACTTCAATGTTTTTTATGAAAAGAATAACTAGCATTTGCAGGGGGACAGGCTGCAGGCGCATTTCTTCCTTCAGTGCATCCACTGTACAGTTAAATGTGAAAGCAACATTACACAGCCAGAGTTCAAAGGATATGCAGTGGTGGAATCACACACCAGCTTGGGAATCACCATGCAGTCACGCGTATGGTCATGCCCTTGTAATTAGGCTTGGGATCCTCTGTCTAAGTCTTCCAAAGTGCTTGATCAAGTAGCTATTTCCACATCACATCAATGATTGCACTTAGTGACACCTGGGCCAATGAAGTATCTATCAATATTTAATTTTAAAATGTATGTGAAGACAGCAATAGCACATTGAAGACACTGTCCAAAACTTATTTTTTCACAGGACTTCTGGAGGATGACTAATAGAATTCAAACTTCATCTTTCTCACTTTGTAAGAGTATCGTTACATGTGCTTAAGATTTTTTTTCTTTTACGACAGAAAATTGCCTCACTTCATGAAAAAGTCTACATTCTTAAAACGCAAAAAAATAACTTCTCTGACACTCTGCAAAAGTGAAAAATCTTCAAAAGAAAAAAGGACAGAAGAAATGTGTATTGCTTTTTTTTTCCTTGATTACCGCTACAGGAGTTCACATTTGGCATGTTATGTTTGCTGTTTTCTGCTTCACTCTGAGTTAGTAACATAATGTACAGCATAAATTGGGTGCTAACCATCTAACACTGTTGAAAATCCTATTGTGAAGATCAGATGTTGTTATCTGTATGTGATTAGGGTTTGGTTTTGTTTTGTTCTGTTCCCCTGGACTGGTCTTATAGAAACCTTAAGTATATCATCCTGTTTCTAATTTATTGTCTTGGCTGTTACATTAGCCTTCTTAATAGATGTACTCATTCATTCCAGAAAAAAAACCAAACAAACCATGTTTTGTGTGCCTGGAGGCTTTGTTCTGTATTTGTTTGAGGATGGGAATTAAGGGTAACTAGAAATGAAGATAAATGCAGATGAACAATTCACACTCTCATATCAGTACAAAATCAAAACTAGTATCACTATTGTCAACATAAATACCAGTCAGAAGAGAATTAGGCCTCGCTCTGCATTTGCGGTTTGAGAAGAAAACATTTCCTGGTAGGATTAGTTGGGTTTTTTTTGGTGTGGGGTTTTTTTCAGTGTCTTTTTTTTTGTTTGGGTTTTTTTTACAGGACCAGATACCTGCACCTTAAACAAAGCTCCCCAACATACTGTATACTCTTTATTTGTGTTTGAGATTGAATTGTCCACTGCAGAATGCATCCTTGGGCTTTCTGAAATATATAGAATGACACTGGGTGAAGAGATGCAAAGTTATCCTGAGAGAGGGGAGTGACACTGTAAAACCTGTCTGGAAGAGAGCTGCAATAATGTTCGCTCCTGACTTTGGCTGTGTATGCTACAGAAATACAAACAGCATTTTTACTTGATTAAAGGTAACGTAATAAAAAAAAAAATACAACTTTTTCTGGGTGCTTTTTTGCACGCGGACCAGAGCTACAAGTACAATGAACTAAACACTTGAAATAGCAGCAGTAGCTACATTTTTTCACCCCATCATTTATGTGGCCCTTACATGGGCTGTCATTATCATCATTCTTCTCCTATCTAAGACAAATGTAACATCCTCTTGGTGTCAAATGGAAAGCAGCAGTGTGGGCTCTTGTATGACCTGCATTCAACTCCTGGCTCTGCCATAGGCTTCTTACATATAAAAATCAGATTAATCTGTAAAACAGAACTAAGAATATCTTCCAACCTCACCACATGGTGTGGTAGAGAAAAAAGATACACCTACTTGTAACCATGATGAATCCAGATGCTAGCGAAAGCTGAGTATTATGTAAACAAACATAATCAGGAACAGCTCTGATTTCAACTACACATTATATCAATTTAAGAAAAGCCCTACTCGGATTTATCTGAACAAAAACCAGGCAAATCCTCATTCAATTCCTACTGTTGCACTGGTAATATTCTACACACTTCAGAAAATGTAAGATGCAACCAGAATGAAACCATTTTTCAAGTATTTTCATAAATCCAGAACTATTTAAAATCTAGCAACACGACAGAGAGAGTAACTCAGTATCCTAGCCTGAAACAGCTTTCCAGTCCTGCATAGTCACTTCTCTAATCTTGCACAGTCAGTTTCTAACAGCTTCAGCAATGAGTCATCTGGTATATATTTGCCTAGGCATTTCCATCATTGAGACTTCTAGACCAAGGGAAGCAGTTGAAAGCAGCTAGCTGCCCCTACCACATTCCCTACTGAGATTTTTTCTTGCTTAATGTGCTGAATAGATGATTGTGGTTGTCCTACGTCCCCAGTAACTAGTGTCTACAATATAGGTTAGCGTTTTCTATGGAAACTGCACCATTTCCCAAGGCTCCCTCTATATGACTTCAGGGTTCATCTAAAATAGAGGATGCAATCTTTCAATCTCAGTGAATAGCAGACTGACAACACGCTAATTCAAGATAGTCAGTATAGTATTAAATATCAGCTTAGATATTTCACAAATGTTCTGTCATCTCCTAGAATAAACTTTATTGCAGTATTCAGACCAATGTTTCTCTAACTTATGTAACTGAGGTAGTCAGCATTGTAAAAAAATGCAAAAGAAAGAAGTACACCACTATTTTAAGAGATAAAAGGAGAAATTTTAGTCAAAATATTTTACAATAAAATAATTATGATTATAAATCTCTTTAGTTAAATATATACACATTACACGGTATTCTAAAAAGAATGAACTTATTAAAGTTTCAAGCAGATCTAATGCACAAATTCACCACTTTGTCAGCTTAGACTGTAATGTCAGTTTAACATTCGTAAATGGCTGTGTCAGACTAATGGCATTGTTTTGTGCAAAACTAAAAAAATTATGAAAAACAAATCTCCAAACCCTTCCGTTCCCATGGTAAATAGAAAAAGTAGTAGACACATACACACACTTACACACACAAACTTTGATTGCATACAGAGGTTAGAATGACCAGCACTAAAATAACCCCCATCTCTGCAAAATAATTAATTTCTTGAATTGATGTAGTTTTTGAAAATTACAAATTTTAAGTGCTAGCAAATTGTGCTTTTAGGCAGCCACATGGCCAATAAGGTAGATGTTGTCATAAAGGTGCCCCACAAAATCTTCACTAATATTCTGTGCAGCTCGTCGTGTATTTCGGATGAATTCCCTCTTTGACATTTTGTTCTTCACATGAGGGCTTGTTAGATCAATGGAAAGTAGAATCAAAGAGTAACACAGTACATAAACTGCATCTAGATAAGAGAAAATAAAATTAAAAAAAAATAAAAAGAAAACTGTGATCATTAAAAATATTCTTCCCTGTCCAAGAACCTTACTGTCCTCATCATCTGGGCTTATAATTACATATACACATACAAAACAACTCAAAAGTATATCCCAGTGAAATAGAATTTAATATAGCAATTTTCAAAGTAATAATGTCAGCACATTGCCAAATGAGCATTTACAAATTTCTACAGTATCCAAAAATCACTTTATGCACGTTCATTTAAACAGATTCTTGAAGGTTTTGTAAACTAAGGCCAACATCCTGCTAAAGCTTATCTTTAAATATGTAAGCAGTCCCACTGCTGAAAACTGGCTCTCTCCCCAAACAATTAGAAATGCCTGTTAACTTGAGTGAGGCCAAGACTCCCTCTCATTTCTCTGGGACTGTCCAAAGGGTAGAATAAGTGTGTAAGTCTTTGCAAGAGGAAACTTAGAGATATTACAGAGCTTAAGCACAGACAAAAGTGAAGGAAAGATAACATGAAAATAAACTCCACTTATCAGCTAGGTCTAAGAAAAGAATCTGTATGTTGTTTTTTTTCTTTATTTTTTTTTATCCCAGTAGGATGACGCCTGTATGCTGAACTCTCCCAAGTCATGTCTGCACTTTCAGAAATACTTGTTTAGGTGCTGATTTTAAAATTATCATAAACAGTAGCAGCGTCCAGAAATATAAAGACTGATCCACTGAATCAAAACTCTTTCTTGCTTACCAGGGCTAAGGCCGAGCTCCCTCATCAAATCAGGGTTACAAGCACAGAATCTATGTGAGAACTTGGTTATGAGAGTCTCAAGGTACTCCCCACGCTCCTCAGGAGCATGAATGTGTCTGAAGAACTCTCTCAGTGCATTTGGCAAGAACTGATTTCTGAAGTTGTGCAATGTCACAAGGTCATCCAAAACATCTCGCCTGGTAGAATAAAATTCCGTATGATTAGCAAAGTTTCTTTTAACCATTTAAATACGAAAATGTAGGTTTTAAAAATAAAACCAAAAGCTTTAGAACATTTTGAGCTTTTTTTTTTGTTCTGAAAGAAAGAAAATTATCACTAACAGCAAAAAGATAATATAAACACATTCAGACACAACAGTAGCCAAATACTATAGACATTAATCAGAATTCTACATTTCTTTATATGCATATTCAATCATACTCTACATAGAGGCTTTGTTGCCTTTAAACTGTCTGACAAAGCCATTAAAAAAGACAAAGGGAACAGATTAATGTGTGACAGTCACATTTTGGTGCCTAAGTAGAAGTTGTTACAGGAGTATCTTCTTAAAGTCAGGCTTAAGTTAGCTAAAATTTGCTCACAAAACCCCTTTAAAGTCTAGGTCCATCACTTAGATGGTGTACTGCTCTCAAGCATTTACCACTGAACACAGGAACATCTAAAGGATTCAGACTAGCCTACGCAAACAGATATGCAAAAGATATCTAAAGGAAATTTAGAAGCAAATTTGAAGTGAATTAAAGAATATTCTCATATGTTTATCCTGTCTATTAAACATTTCGGTACTAAGAGGGGAGTTTCAACATTTAGAAACCTATTTTTTATTTTTAGTGCCTGATTACACTCTGTTTACGAATGAAAGATGAATGGCAGTAGAGGTTGCTAATACTAACTTGCAACTTCATCCATTAAATAGTTTTGCCTTTTTTCTACTGCCAAAAAAGTTGATAATCTGAAGTTTTACAGCACAGGACTGTCAGTGGTGATAACACTAGAGACGGGTCCATTTATTCCTTTAGTGGTACAGGCTCAGGAGAATGAGAAACAGGAGAGGATTACAGAATCACAGAATGTTAGGAGTTGGAAGGGACCTCGAAAGATCATCCAGTCCAACTCCCTGACAGAGCAGGATCATCTAGACCAGGTCACACAGGAACACGTCCAGGCAGGTTTTGAATGTCTCCAGAGGAGACCCTACAACCTCTCTGGGCAGTCTGGTCCAGTGCTCTGTCACTTCCTGCTAGAAGTGCCTCTGTGCCTCTGCTCTTCCTATTTACATCCAGTTATTATTCTCCTCCTCTTCCAATTTCGCTTGATCGTGCTGGTGCTCCTCTTTCCTGACACTATGCTACCCCAACCTGAAGCTATCTTGGAAGGCAAGAGAAAGCATTGTGGATGTAGAAGAGCGTGCTACAGCAGGGATAGTGGTCCCTACTGTAGCTCATGCTGTCTCCAAGAGGATGCCCTATTGCATCTTAGGAGGTGGGTGTGACTTCCATTTGAGAAATATCAGAAAACCAAACAATGGTTACATGATTCAATATTAGTTAAAAAGCTATCATCATTTGGTAAAGTGGTAACTGCTTTTTCTGATAAACACCCATACTAGATAGGAAAAAAAAAAAACTTCAAGTCAACAAAAGAAGCAAAATATCTAATATCTATATCTGATTGTTATATAGCACAAAAATGATCACTACTAAAAGTTCACTATAACTTCAAAGTAATTTACGCCAAGAACTGCAAAAATATAGGAAAAAGCACAGGATGTAAGATTTACAAGTTATAGGCGGTATTTTCCAAGGTTCTTCTAAAGTGTTATGGTCACATAAGTACTTGAACTGAGTAACTGTTCATATTTAGCAGCAGCATTACTTAGCTGCATTTTCCTGCATCTTTACATCTTTAAAATTACATTAATACAAGCAAAGTATTGTTGAATGGTGCTGTACATTAAAAATGAATAGGAAATGTCTCTAGAGGAATTCAAATTACCTTTCATCAAGGTAGATTCTCAGCTTCTTCCAATTTAGTGTTCTTGTGCAAAAGATAAACTTAGCTATTTCTTTCGGCGAATCGTCCAGTATGCCCTTGGACATAAAGTAGTTGACTCCCTGAGACAAAATACATTTACGTATAAATATGTTTAATCTTCATGATGTGTTTAGGACCAAGCATTGCACTTGGCAATGTACAAAAATAATCCCATTAATTAGTTGGTCTGTTTTTCAGAATTATTCATCTTCCCCTAAATCACATTTCAACATGCACAATACACTCTAAAATAATAAATCAAATGCAAAGAAACAATTTTTTTTTATTTTTGAGATTTTATGTATATTCACAGTAAGAAATTTAAAATTATGAACCCCACAATGAGCATGATGGTTTTTTAATATTTTCTTTACAGTGCAGACTAGTATTTTGGTTTTCATACTTCTATATTTGCATTTAAAATTCTGCGGGGACCATAACTTTTAATTTTATAACTTTTGTAAACAAGAAAATCTTAACCATAAAGTGTTTAATCTTTAATATCTTTCATTAAAACATTAACTTTAATGTTCTCACATGTATATGATGTATCACATTCAAATAGATGCATTAAATGCATCTGTTTAAATGTGTAATGCAAATAAACACAAGCACGCTGATTTTAAAGCAAAGGTAAATATCAACATATATAAATATGCATACACATAAAGAACACTGTGCCTAACCAAAAAAAACTTTAAAAGATAGAATAATTGTGTATATTTTATATTCACATTATGATTTCCAGAATTTTCCACACTTTGCCAAGCAGATACTTTTTCTAGAATACACATGACAAATATAATTTAAAAATATTTCAGTGATATTCTGGATTCTTTTCATTCATTGAAATATCCCAAAGCATACTATTTTAAAAATGTTTAAAAACTATTTTTAAAAATGTTCACATTTTTCAGTAACAAAAATCTAAACCTGAAACTACTAAGGAAGTAGTTTCAATTTGGCAGGGGCTGGGAGTGGTTCTGAGCATCTGTTACAAAGAAGTGTTACATTCCTTAACTACGGTATGTCTTGACTGTACCATAATGCTGAAATAATGTACAATATGTAGGCCAGTGCATTTCTGTATATGATAGTGTACCAAGGCCACAACCTAAATCACCTTTAAAATACATCTTGAAAACTTTTTCCCATAAATCTTCAGATATCAGACTTCACAATATTTTGCAAGTCTGCCCTTTTAGTTTATAAAGATGTAGGGGCAACCTGTCATTCAGTACATAAATTAACTTCCCAGTGCCCTTCAATTTTGCTTAAAAACAAAATAAAGCCCTGAGTGCAGGCTTAGAAAGTTGTTTTATGAAGTGAATTTGTAAAGAAGAGTCTCAGTTATATCAAGGAAAAAATAAATTAGAATATATGCTTAAGATACTGATAACACAAGTGAAAAGTCAGCAAACACCTGTAATATTATCTAGCTGTTTTTACTAGTCCATAATTTTTGCTTATATATTTATAGAAAACAGCAGTTGATCAGCATACTTTTTTATTAAAAATATGTTTTATAAAATAAAAAAAAAAATGTTTTATACAGGTAATAAAAAAAATCCTGGCAATTTTAGGCCCTGATTTTAAAAAGAGTATTTAAGACATTAATGAAACATGTATTGCACTATAAGCTTGCATTTAAGTCCATATTAGATCATAGTTAAGTTTGTCCATAATATTGATGAACAACATAAGGTTAATACTTTCTTGAATTAGAACTAAATAAGAAACTAAGTATGGGAGATCAAAATGAACATCAACTGCATATTAATTCCTCAAGTATTTTATCAATTTATACAAGACTAGCAGTAGAACATCTCCTTTACATACATTCTGACTTAATGAGAAACATGCATTTGCTTCAGTAACAAGTATTTGCTTAAGGCAATATTAACTGAAGCTTGGCAAGGAAGTCTCAGTAGCATTTCCGCTGCAATTATTTAACAAACACTTCTGCAACATATCTAGAAAATACCTGGCGCATCACAGATGAGGCAGGATGGAAATAACACCTTCTTTAAGACACGCAATGCGTTGGTTTTTCTGTGACATTGAATGTCATAACTCATTTATTTCATGCACTAGATTTCAACTCAGGATCTTTACTTGATATGCTACCAACTCTTCGCAAAGCATTCTTATTCGCAGTCTCGAATTCCCTGTCTGTCCCCTACCACACATAATGCTTGACAGTATCTTTGTGAATGCAGTCTCGTTATCAATTCCCCTCAACTCCTTCACAAATAAACAGGATGTAAATAAAATATACTTCAGCACATACGATCATTTTAAGTTGCTTTTGATTTCTTCCTAAGCAACCACAAATACTTTTCAACAATAGAAACCTGATTTCTGTTTGAAGCTACTCAATTTTGGCTCACAGTAAATGAAATTTATTTACAAGATTTATGGCATGTCATTGAATCCCCTTTTTGTAATACTAAACACTGCCTTGAATTCACTCAGAATGCACACTTCAAATAAATCACTTTTGGTAGCTAAAATAGTTGCTCATGGTAGGTATAATGGCTAAAATAAGTAGTTCTACACACTATTAAAATCTATGCTAAGATTATTTATCAGTCATCTGGTGATTCTCCTAGGAAACATCTGACCGAAGTGCCACTATCTACCCGGTCTTTTTCACACTTTGGTAACAATGCAGGATGGGAATACATGGTATGTTCTTCTAATTCTGATTTAGGGGGAAAGTAGTTGGGTGAACAGCACAACCACCAAGATTTCCAGTAGCTCTGTGTTTGCCTAACTTATATGAGGAGCCTGCTTGTCACTATAATGGTGTTAGCATTAGAGAATTAAGAAAGATGCCTTAAAGATAATTGTCTTTGTGGCAAGAATGTTATAACTGAATTTCAGACAGCTCTGGGTAAAATCTTTATGTATGAAAGTGCTGATTTAAATTATATATGCAAATAACAATTATAACTATACACTAATAGTAACAACAAAAGCCATTCATTGTTTTTCAATATGTTATTTTTTACAGTTGCTCCTTTTTTTCCAGTCACATGATGCTTGTTTTACTGACCTATTCTATTAAAGCCCTGACACTCCTAGCTTGCTTTCTCTCTGTTCCCAAGAATCTTTCCATTCATTTATAGGCTGTCATTTACAGAACACCTAATATCAAAGTTTTCTTCTTCAGTATTGGTTTCATTTCTGCATTGACTTTCTTCTCTGCTAAGACTACTTTTAAAATAATTAAGTACCATAGTCAACATTAAAACTTTTGTACTTGCCTTTGATAACTCTGTTTAGATGTACATACAAAACAAACCAGACATATTCTAAGTTAATGGCACAGAAATTTTGGAATCAGTATTTTTCTACACATATGCATGATTTCTCTTTTTAACATTGAAATGGAATTGTCTGCAAATTCAGAGTTTAGGTAAAAAGCTTCATTATCTCCAATGCACATTTAGAAGTAGCACAAGAAAATATATGACAAATGCATTTGTCAATAAAGACAAATTTCACTTAATATGTGGAATTTCAAATTTCACGTTTCACATAAATGGTTGTACACATGCTCTATTGGTTCAGCTTAAATAGTTTTAAAAGGTGACTATGGAAATCACTAGTAGCATATTAACATTAACATTTTTAGGTGATTTATAATTCTGTGAGTTGTATGCTTCTACATTTTGGTACGATTAAGTAAATATCAACACAAAATGCTGATTTTTTTCTACTCTGTACTGTATTTAAAAAGACCATTTTGATCACCAAGCAAAGCAAAACATTCTTAAATACAAGCTGTCGAAGTACAGAAATTCAAGATTAAATATTAGCTTAATTATTTAGATAAATTTTTTTGGGCAGTGGCTATCATTTTATTCTGTATATGCAGTATGTGGCATAGTAGGGCTCCAATTTGTACATGGAACATCTACGTAACATTAATATTATTAGTAAATAATAATTAGATGTGTACGGTATTATCATTCCCATTTTTCTAGGGAAATGCACTATCTTCATATATATTACATGATGCATACACTGGAACAAAATGCACAGTACTGATGCAGTATTTTCTAACAGAATCTTTTAAGATTCTTTTCCTAAGTTACAAATCAAGCCATTTGGTGACAAATGTGGGCACAATATAGAACATACATTTCAAACAGTGTCTCTTTCACTGTATGACTTTAAAATACAGCCTCAGTGATAAACACTTATGATGGCAGAAATCACAAATAGATCGTAGAAATATTTTTCATATTACACAGAATTGATAACTAATAATTTACAAGATTAAAGTTCTCTGACTTTAACATAGAGTCTTCAAAATGTTTCAGCTGTCTTGTCCATTCCAACTTTTAGTTAAATCACACAAAAGAACCTCTTCCCTCTACAACATACACATACTTCTAATACTCTTAGGACAGATAAATCAATGCATCTCAAAATTGGCTTACTTGGTAGGGCACTATGAAATAGGGTACGTTTTCAAAAAATTTGGTTAGAAATATAGAGCACAGTAAATATTCCGTAATCGACAGACTATCTATAAGTAAAAGTCAGGTAAGGTAGCTTTATGCAAGTGGCCAATAATTCATTTATAATCAAGAAAAGGCCAGAAAACTGGCCTCCCTGGCAAAAACTAAGGGCAGTTGGTAATGAATGAGACAATCAGAAAAGTGGAAAGCCAGGCTTAGTAAAAGCACTGTCTTGCTGTACTTTATTGTTATTATGCTACATAAAGGACATCCTGACCTCATTAAAGTCCGAGAGTTTTGGTACAGTCCAGATTCCAAAAGATCCACAAAAACAAATGCTATTAAACAGAATCTATTAGATCTTCTTTCTTGACCAAAAGACCCTTTTTTCCACCCTCAGTTTAAATTTATACTTAATTACATGGAGCTATGTGATGTACTTGACAAAATATTTTGTAGGGAGTTAGAAACAGTATACAAAACAGTGGGAAATAACTTCTGGGTGCTGACAAATTCTGAGTCATAATCATATGAGATATGAAATGAGCACTGTGAGAGAAACATTTCACATACACCATACACTTTTTAGAATAAAATACAGCAGAAACCATGTAGGTAGATTAAAAAAAAACATAACATCCATATTCAAGTGTTAACACTAACTCTAAACCAGCCCCTGTCCCCAAAGAAACAAAAACCAGTTCCAAAATCTTGGCTACTATGTGCTGCCATAAGGAAAAAAACCCAAACAAACCAACATAAAATATGCACCAAACATGCACTGGAGGGTGGGGTTGTTGTTGTTGTGTTTTGTTGTGGTGGGTTTTTCTTGTTGTTCCCACCCCCCCTCCCCCCCAAATTACGGGTAATGTGATTAGGCACATCCTTTCAGCAGAATGTGATTACCTGCTATGAATTATGCAAGCTCATGCACACAATCAATACATTAAATTACAGCAGATATCACAACACCATGCACACAACAGTGGCTAACCAGAGAATCCTACCACAAATTGAGTAGATGCTCTTCCCTACCCCGTGAGCCACCGCTAGCTCTGGAGCTGTTGCTGTGGAGCCTGGTTACCCATTTTCATGACATGGGCGATGTCCTTTGGAGAATCTTGCTCCTGTGGCTGTAAGTATTCCTATTTTTATAGTAATTTGATCAGGTCTGTTATCAAATGTAAAGCAGAGTCTGGCAGGAAATTCGGAGATGTAATTTGTAATAGTGGAATGTCATATCACAAATTCCAGTCACAGTGTCCTTATAATAATAATTCTGCCAATATCACAGTTGTAAACAATAAAAGCAATAGTATTTGTGAATTCTCATGAAACTCAGGCCCTGAATGATTCCTACCAGGCTACGGTGCTCCACAGGGAGAGAGGAACAGAAGGCCTTAGGAGATATCCTGAGGTTCTCACCTCTCACTAGGTCTGAAGCAGACTGTTTGTACTACTTCTGTACAATACAACCATAATAAATCCAGAAGAATTAAGTGTAGCATAATAAATGTAGTATCTAACTTAGGTATGCTATAAGGTAGCTCTTATTTGCAGATCTTAATTTCCTTTAAAAAATAAATTTTTTATTAAGCGCCTTTTGTGAAGGCTCCAAATGCTTTAAAACTACCAAGATTACTTTAAATTAGGTTGGAATATAGCAGCATATTATAAACTAAGATAGTAAGTGAAAAACTATGTTAAAACAAATTAAAAGACAAAGAAAAATTTGGATAGACAAAACTATTACCAATTAAAAGTTGATATATCCTTGAAAACACATTTAAGTTACCTAAAGACCGCCTTACATTTGAAACACTTTACATTTATTACCAAATTCACTAAAATCCTACTGAAAATCAATGCTAATCACTCAAGTGACAATGAGCTGATAAGATGTTTCAGCACTGCGTATCACAGATCGAGGCAGAAGTCTACCAGAGACATTACAAAATACTGTAATTAGTGACTAATAAAAGTAGTGGGTTTCGTTATCAAACAGAATATGAGATAAAGCAAGAATGCAAACAAAATCACATTATTGTACTGATTCATGCAACCACTTTATTTATTTCACCCTGTGGTCACAAGTTCATGTTTTCTGTATCACATCAGCAGAGTGAACTTTCAGCTCCTAGAAGTATATCTATTAATGTTTCTTAATCCTTATCCTACTTTGGATTTATTCAATTACCACTTCCTTGGGTAAGTATAAATATATGCAGGGAGTTAATATTACTTCTTTTTTCAGTACCGTGTACCTTCTTTTCCTAGGAAACATGAAGCAGGAGCCTGGTTTTGTACACAAAAGACTGTCACTTGGACATAAATTGCATATCTCCCAGGCAAAAGCTGTCTACTCTCTAACTCTTTTCTTCTTTGAAAGGTGACAGAGCGAAAGCAGAAACTGAGTTTTCCAGTTAGTTACATGGATAAATAAATGGAAATATTTTAGTTTGACATGGGGTATTTTTTTAAATTAAATATAAGCTGTTACGTACTATAAAGAAAGATTATGCTAACAAACATCCACAGAAATCAAATCCAACTTATCTTTAGGATAGTTCAGCAATACATCTTTTTCATAGTAATTCAAGATTTGCTCCTTGATAGTGGAAATACTTAAAAATCCCTTACAAGAAACCATAGTCATAGAAGAAATTGGTGTTACTTTATACCTCATTGTGCTTTAACTGAAGTTAACTCATACTCTGCAGAAGCCTTTCAGTATTTCAATTTATGGAAGTTTTCTATTATCCTTTTTAAATTCTCCATTGCCTCTGCAGTTAGGATCTGCCTCATTCCTAAGTCAACACATGCTTATAAATTTCTGGCATTCATAAGTCAGACCACTGTACAGAGCACTTAAGAGGCAAGCCATATAAATGATATGCACAGGTACCATATGCAGAAAGAGGTCAGGATAGGGCTGCAACTCAGTATTAACTAACCATTTCTACAGTAAAACAAACGTCAACTAAAACTTGGCTTTTAATATGGTTATAATTATAAAACAACAATCACAATTATTTTAACTATTTATTACTATCAGCAACAGTTCACTTACCTCATCAGGGTTGGCATTAAAGGTGAGACTGCCCTCATCTAGCTGCATATACAATTTTCTAAAAGAAAATCCTAGAGGTGGATTCTTATTGTATATAGAACAGTGACCCCAAGTGGATTTGCACAACCTATGAAAAATAGAATTAGTCTATTATCAAAATTCCTTTCTGTATTTCATGTATTTAACACAAGTAAAATGTAAACACTGCAAAGCCAAATACACAAACTACAGAAAAAGCAGAAATGGGTGACTTGTAACACTTAGGTATTAAGCCTTTTGTACGTGTGTTGCTAAAGTCTCTATTTATATCATTAGTTTTCTCTTCAAATGGGTTTTGGTGTATTTGAGTGCAATCTCAAAACATAACCCAGTAGGTGGCATCATAATGAGATCCACACAGCTGAGACCTTTGGCACTCGTAGTATCTGAACACCAGGTAACTGTGACAAGTTCTTCTCCTGCAGCAGTATGACAGTTTAAAAAATTGTGTTTCTTTTCTTACACACTAGTTGTGCAGTGAGACACCACATTTGCATAAAATTATGCTATCAACTCACTGCCTTTCCTGTCTGTCCTTTTACAGCTTTTCCAGTCTTAACCACTCCTAATCTTTTGTTCCAGCCCCACCCCTCCCTGTCTTCTCAGCTTCTTTCCCTCTAGCTCACCCTGACTCCTATCTCAGTTTCATCAGTTTCCGTCCCTCATCTCAGTCTCCTTGATGACACCATCTGAAATTCCCTTGAACTCTCACTTTCTAGGCACTCCGATTGTTATCTAGATTCCTTATTGAACCGGTAGCTCTTCAACACATCTGTTTTGTAAATAATTAAGTACAATGCTTAGAACCCAGCAGGTAGCCACTGAGGACATGGGAGAAACTTTGTTTTCAGTTCACAAACCTGGGTCTCATTTGGACTGAATTTAGAACTGCAGCCACAGAACTCTTCAAAGCCTAAACACACACATATAATACAGGTAGAATACTGAAGACTAAGACATCTACAGAGATTATGCAATTTGAGATTTTTATTAGTGTGCTAAATTAGAACACATTTTCACTAACAAAATGTATACTTTGTACTGTGTATTATTTGGGAAGATTTCACTAAATATGATGGAGCTATTTCTCAAGATGAACTCTGAAGAAAATATGTATTTTTTTAACCCCTGTATGTTAAGAATACATAGTGCATACAACTAAGCAGTTCTAGCATCTTCAAGCTTTGGTCCAGGGAGTTTAATTGTATTTAGTGTGGTTTTGATACCAAGAACTGAGTACAATACAATGCCTACTTACTCAACTGCCAAGCTACTTGATATACATAAATCTAGAAGCTTAGCAGGATCTTCACTAGCATTCCTGTTTCCTGCCAACAGTCCTCAACAGCAGAACAAATGTGACCAAGAAGTTAAAACTGCATTATCCTATTGCTGAGTTCATGAGCATGATAGGAAGGGAAGCTGCTTAATTCAAATGCAGAGGGACACAGAAATAGATGAGGAAGGAAGAATCACAGAATGGTAGGAGTTGGAAGGGACCTCTGAAGATCATCTAGTCTAACCACCCTGGCAGCAGGATCACCTAGAGAAGATGACACAGGGACATGTCCAGGTGGGTTTTGAATGTCTCCAGAGGAGACGCCATAGTCCCACTGGGCAGCCTGCTCCACTCACAGTAAAAAAGTTTTTCCTTATGTTTAGCTTAAACCTTCTGTATTCCAGTTTGTGATCAATGCCCCTTGTCCTGTCACTGGGCATAACCAAGAAGACACTGATCCCATCTTCCTGACACCCACCCTTTAGATATTTATAAGCATTAATGAGATCTCCCCTCAGTCTCCTCTTCTCCAGGCTAAACAGACCCAACTCTTTCAGCCTTTCCTCATTCGGGAGAAGCTCCAGTCCCCTCACAATCTTAGTAGCTCTATGCTGGACTTTCTCCAGTAGTTCCTTATCCTTCTCGAACTGGGGAGCCCAGAATTGGATGCATTTATTCTAGATGTGGCCTAACCAGTGCAGAGCAGAAGGGGAGGATAACCTCCCTTGACCTACTGGCCACACTCTTCTTAATGCACCCCAGGATGCCATGGGCCTTGGCTGCAAACGTACATTGCCGGTTCATGGTCAGCCTGCTGTCCACCAGTACTCTCAGGTTCTTTTCCCCTGAGCTGCTCTGCAGCAGATACAAGAAAGAAGACACAAGTTCTGCTGTCCATCTACTCTAAAGCTAAATATGATTTAATCAGTCTTTCCTAGTGCTGTAAAACACCAAATATCAAAGAAAATATTTCAAATTAAATTTTGATCTTATACTATTTTGATAGAACATTCCTCTATTTATTTCCTGGACAGACAAACTCTGCATATTTTATATAAATATGTTTCAATGTGTTAGACTGCAAAAATGCCACTTGACACATTTGCAGAACTGACCTTTTAATCCACCCTTTCATCACCATCTTCCAAAGAACATACCCTTAATTTGCTCTAAGACAAGTATAGTAGATGAGTTCTCATCCTTTTTTGCCTGAAGCTTCAGCTGAATAGGTTTGTGTGCTCAAGCTACTTGTTTGAAGTTTGGAGAAATAATAATACAAACATTTAAGATGTGCTTTGAGCTAAAAAAAAGTTAAGGTGAGCCCTCGGGTTTTTTTCCCCATGATATATGAAATGACAGGTGTGTAGTAATACGCATGTATACTTGTACCAAGCACACTTGTGCATGTAGTAATCTCCACTAATACCTTATAGTAAGTAGAAATCCAGAATAACACATTTATAAACTATATTCATGTTTCCCCTTTGTTAAATGACAAAAAGCATATGTTGAGATAAATTTAACATCTAATTTTATTTTTTTTTTCTGCTTACCCTTGCCAGAGAAGCTCATCATTAGCAAGATCCTGCCAGACACATGAAGCTAGACAGAGATCAGTTGCATTTAGGTATGACAAAATGGTAAAACTAAGCTCTGGTGGCAGCATTTCCAGGTTAATGAATCCTTCTTGTTCTTTAGATTTTCTTGTCTTCAACAGGTGGTAGATGTCAATGCCTCCTTGGGTTTGTTTCTGATTGCTTGTATTCGAAACATTGTTAGTAGCTATCCTCCTACCATGTTCTCTGGTAAGATAGCCTTGTCCACTGTATCCTTGGTGTTGCAGTTGCTGGTTCCTAGCAACTCTCCAGAGTCCCTGACCCATCTGCGAGCCTGCTGGACATAAAATCCAAATTAAATATTGGCAGCTACTTATAAATACTTATATGACAGATTCAGTACACACTGGAAAAATAAAAGTGTGGTACTGATTTGCATAGGAAAAAAAGTGAGTTTTGTCAAAGTTATGCTGACAATGTAATCTGTCTCAAATGGAGCCACTGAATAAATACTGAAAGCAAAACCCATGAAAAACTAGAGGATTAAAAAAAATTCTACACTTGAAAAGTCAAAAAATTAACAATAAGCTTCTGCAAACAGTACCAAACATTAGCTATGTCCTATGCAAGTTAGAAAGCCTGAATCATCAGAACATTTGGAATTATTATCTACAGACTTACTTTAAAATTTAATAAAAATAGCTTATTTAGAGTCAATGACGTGCTACAAAACATAAGGAGAAACACAAATGTCCTGTGTAGTGGGTAGCACACAAAATTAGTCTGTGACTGACATTAAGACAAAGCTTAACTTCAGCGATAATGCATTAAGGATTCAGTTTCACATTTCCGAGCACCCAAAATATATGTTCAAGCTTTCTTGCACAGTAGCATAAAAATTTCATGATAAGGCTTCTGTATCTTACTTACCACTGTGTTTTTTTTTTTTTTTCAAACTTTGCTGCAGATGGTAATAAAAACAACAGATCCTAAATGTTAGTCAGTTATCAAGAATTCTGAATGCCACAACTCAGATTTCAGTAACCACCTGTATTTACCAAGAGGGACAATTAAAGTACGATAAATAATACTAATTCAGTATGAGAACCTTAGTGTACATATGGTGATCTATCTTATTTTTTAACCTCTGCTATAATGGCAGATGACTGAAGTGATCATACTAGGAATCTGAAGGTTCCCGATACTGACTTTCAAAAAGATAAACACTGATGGCCTGTCCTGGTAGGATCTCATATGTAATTGAAATTATTTATATTCCATTATCTCAAGGAATTAAAAATGGGGCTTTAACACTGTTAAAGGTTGGCCACAGATGGAAACTGTTCTACATAAGCAGAAGGAAACAAGCTATGGATGCAGTGAGTGACTGGGGAGAAAAATGGAGTAATTAGAGAAATTACAGGAAAAAAAAGCATAACCAAGACAAAATTCAGGGCAAGTTCAAGAATTCATTTCTAGATAAGGTCACAGTTGCAAAGTAACTGTAGTCACATGTTTCAATCTAGTAATAAGTAAGACTTTACATAAAATAATAATTTTTATTCTCATTTCTTGTACAGTTATATATTTGGCTTATTTTTTTATCATACAGAGGCAGATTAAACCATGATCTACTGCTATAAATTATCAGGCAAGTTTAAAGGAAAAAAGCTTACTGAGTCACACCATAAACAGGATATACAGTTGGCTGCAAGACTGCATGCATAAAGAAAGTATACTCATTTTCTCAAGACCAGCATAAAATTTTTTAAAGTCCTTCATGCTACTGGTAAAGTAGCTTCACAAGAGGAACCTACACCACAATCTGCCATTTAAAAAGTGGCAACACAAGGAGCAGTTTGATGAAAGTGGCCCTTGGTAATTCATGCTGGTGTTTGCACTTAATTTATGAAACTTCTAGCTACAAATAAAACATATTTCTTCACCAAATGAAGAATTCTGCCTTTATTTATCATTGCCTAGCTAGATTAAAATAAGAGGTAGCAATTCTTTTTAAAGAGACATTCTCAGAGCTGCAGTTGCTCAGTGCCACCTTTTTCTGCTTTTGATCAACTCAGTCTCTCCAAAGAAAAGGAAGTTACTAACCTTCATCCCAAAGGAGGATCACCAAGCACTGTCACGATAAAATCAAGAGCTAATAAATGAATCAGTGGTAGATGTGCCAGAACTGTCATTTGGAACTACAAGCATAAAGCCATCAAGTCACCTGCCACTGCTGCTATAGCCCCTGCTGAGCAGGCAGAGCACACACTGATGTGCAGTGGAAGACCAAGTAAAAAACCAGTCTGTGTGGGTTGGCAGCAACAACCACAGACGAAGGAGGAAAGACTTTCCCAAGGGATTAAAAGAGCAGGTAAGGTGTATTTCTGAGCAAATACAAAATTTGAAAATGGGCTACTATCACCGCACTAAAGGACTCAAAATACGATAAAGTTCCCATTTTGCTAGGCACTGTATATAAGCTTGTTAATTACTTAACTACAGTACTTAGTAAACAGGTATCTCGAAATATCTTTGGAGGCTTCAAACAATTCTTGACCTTACCCTGTGAGTAAACTGAACGCTGCCAACAAGGCATTACACTTTCAAATATGCAGATGCCAAATTCAGAGGCTGTGTTCACTCTCAGAAGATATCAGATGATTTGAATGACTGAATAATAATGACCTTTCAATTCAGTTATGTAAAAAATTCAGCGTTTTGAAACGGGTAAATGTATATGTGTACAAGTACATGTAACTCAAACATAATCAGCACACTTCATCAGTGCAGCTCTTCATGTAAAAACAAAATTAAAATCTGCCTGAAAATACAGCATTGACTCTAAACAAGATGATAAGCTCGCCAAACAGCAAAATACTAGTTTCAGGGTCAGAAAGAACTAGGAGTGAGGTTTTGTAATTCCTCATCATTATTTCAAGTCCTTAACCACTGCAACAATAGAAATTAGGAAGAAAAAAATATGACAACATTGCAATATTAAACCTGATATTTTGCAAAAGTTAAAATGAGATGACCTGCTGTATGTAAACTGTATATGTCAAGCAGAGAAAAAAGAAAGTTCTGTTAGATGCGGAAATCTGTTGAGGTAACTTTTTGAAAGACAAATTAAGGAATTTATTTTGCTAGTATTTTTTCCATTGTTAGTTTATATCATTATAACAAAGCCACATTTTTATACACATTAGTTAACTCCCAACTGATAAAATTTTTCTGAAAATACTGATTATTTAGGCACAGTTATTTAAACTGTGAAAAAAGTTTAAAAGAGAAAAAAAAAAGGTGTAACAGGGAATTCAAGGCTCTGAAGATCATTAGGAATCATATTGTGACAAGTTTAATAATCATAATACACCAGAAAGATGAGAGAGAAAGAACAGCAGCATTATCAGAAACAGTTCACAGAAAGGCTGTGCCCAGTCATCAAGTCAACATAGTGCAGGTAAGCATCTGGCAATATTATAATATCTTTCGAACCTCTTCAGAGTCAGATTATCTTTCTGTTCTTTATATATACTACTTGTAAAGAATTCAGTAGTGGTCACATAAGACCAGTTTTTCCTACTTAGACCTAAATCAAATATTCAAAGTTTAGTTACTAGTTTAGTATCTTTTTTGCAACATTCAGCTAGAAGTCCCTGTTCAGGAAATACATTCTGTTGAGGAATACTGAGCTAACAAGAATATCAACAGTTCTTGTTGGTGCTTACAGGGTTTTTCTCCCCATACAAAAGCCAATTGCTATACATCACTAACAATGTAATCACTTCTAAACTATTTAACACTAGAAGTGGCTCCAAGACAGAAAAAAACACTGTTATTCAAGAAACTAGCCTTCTTATAATGTACTCACATACTCATACAGAAGACATCAGTGCAGAAACCATTTAAAAAGTCTTTTTCCCCATAAAAAAGATAAAAATATAGATATTTGCTATTTTAAGTACCAACTGAAGAAATTTCAGAAGAAGAAACAGCGTGAGTTACAATTTAAACCATTTTAGAACCAGCTGCCAAAAATCCACAAGCTTTAATATGCACGTAGTTATTCAGCAGCTTATACACCATTCATTAGATCACATCTTATTTTGCCCACCATGCAATTACTTTCAGCTTTGTAGTAATCTAGGATGAATGCTTTGAGAACTCACTCATAAAACAAGATGAGTAAACACATTGTTATTATAAAGCCCTTTAAGTAATTTCATCCAGAATAATATTTTTAAGTTATTTTGAATATACTTTTTCAATCTCCAGATTCAACAGGCCATTAAAATTTACGTTTCTAAACTTCCAGTTACAAAACTTCATCTAATAAATGAAACCACTTGATAGCTTGGCTTTAATAACTATCACAGTGCAAATAACATCAAGCTTGCTTATAAATTGCTGATCTTCTCTGGCTCTGTCTGATATCTATCATAGTCTGATTCCAATTTTAATAATGTCTTCTTCATATTACTTTGTTACTGCATAATAAATTATTTTGCTGTTGAGTACGTAAATGTAACCTAGATTAGTGTTGTATTGGTACTAGCTCTTGCCAGCACCAATAAAACACAACATACACAGTCGATATAAACCCCTCTGCTTCATGCAGCCCTACAGCTGTCGCTTTGCTACCACAATCGCCCTACCAGGAAAACGTTCCTTCCTTCGTTACCGAAGCAGGAGCTTCGTTCATCGCAGCCGCATCCGTAACCGCGGCCTGCTGATCCCCTTAACGTGAGGGCCTTCCAACCCCGACTCCAGGCAGTTACGCCGGCGGTTCCGGAGTCACAGCCAGTCCCTCACACCCGAGGCCGCCCCAGTTGCAGGGAACGCCCCAGGGAACCTCCTGCCCGATAAGCGCAAGCAGCCGTGCTGCTCGACACCTCCCCGACGCTTCACCGAGTCCCGCACAGGGGAGCCGGGACCCCAGCCAGGGCACAGCTGCTCTTCCCTCGGCGGACACCGGCCGGCCTAGCCCCGTA